ATATACCTTTTAATCTTCTATTAATGATGCTTTGATTTAAATGGACTAGAATTATTGAATGTATATCTCAATCAAGGTATTTTTGGGGAAAATATCATTAGCTTATGGCCAATAGTTAAATGAAGGTTTCAAAATATATATAGCCTTAGTTACATTAATTTTATTTAGAGTTCTATGATTGTATAATGCCGTATCTATGAAAATAGATTTGTTAGCCAAAGGCAAAACAAAATAAAACAAAACTACAATGAGAAAAAAGTTATAAAGAGCAAAATAGATTATTTTATATCAATATTAATTTAAGGTTAGTGAGTGGCTTTAAATGTAATTTTATTAGAAATATATTTAATGTACTTTGAGGTTTGATAATTCAGGTTAATTTGACTTGGAAGTGTATTTAATAACATTTGTAGAGAATTATAAATTGATATGTGTTTTTCTCTGGCAGTAAAGTGTTGATTAGAAATTAATTTGTTGTGATTTTTGGTAGTATCATGAGAGGAGAAATGTATTAAAGCTTAAAAGCCTAAATTTTAGAATCATAGAGAAAGGAGAGTTTAGAACAATTACTTTTTGGGTTGATGATGACTTTTGACAGTTATTAAAGCTATATAATATCAAATTTTGACCCAGAAGAGGAAAATGGGTTAAAGCAGGCTGAAAGTAGACACAGGGAGCCTGGTTAGGAGATTACTACAGTTTTCCAAGTGGTAGGTGATGTAGATCGTATCAAACATTGTATGAGTGTGAAAATTTTGTGTGTGAGTGTGAAAATATGTGTGTGTATACCTATCTGTGCATAAAGAATGGGATATATTATAGGTAACTTGGGTGGGAAAATGGGCAAATTACATACCTGAGAAGATTTTGAACCATGTACCTGCAGTTTACTTGATGACTCAAAGCTTGACTTACAAGTGTTAAATGTTTACTCTTAAGATATTTTCTAAGAATAATGCTTAAAAGTATAAGCAGAACAAAGTAAAAAATGGCCTCATTCATCCTGTCACCTTGAAATGGTGATTATTATCATTTTGGTATACTTTCTTTCTGTCCTTGTTTCTTCCTGTGAATATAGCTTTACGTTTTAGGGATCTTTTTGGATATACATTTGTTTGTCAAGGACTGTGAAGGGTCTGAGATCTTCGCTACTGGCATGCTAACAGGTGAGCCTGCCTCAGTTGCATGGATGCAGGCAGGTGACAAGAGACTTCTGGGCCAAAGATAAAGGACTTTATTGCAAATGGCACAGAATGAATAATTAGTATATTTGTGTCAATTCTCCTTTCTCCAAGTCTCATGGAGACCAGTCGGATGGACTGGATGAACACATACATGCAGTCGTTTGCATTATCGGAGAGCAACCCTGAGATTAGAGAATCTGAATATTTTATAATGGTCAGTAACATGCCTACCTGCCTTTTGCTCTAGAAGGAGACACTATTTATAGGGCAGTAAGCGTGTCTACCTTTTGATCCAAAAAGATATACCACTTCTGTCTTTGAAAGATTGTCTCTATACAAACATTCTTGAAAGATTGTCAGAAAAGAAAATAGTGCCTGTGCTTGTAAAATGTACAGAAACATGAGTCATAGAGAATTATTTCTCAACAAGCATAAATATTTTCCCATGTCACTAAAGTTTTTTAATTAGCATTTAAAATAACTGCATATGTCTGTAAAAATGCAGTTGTAGGCCAGGCGCAGCAGCTCAGGCCTGTAATCCTAGCACTTTGGGAGGCTGAAGCAGGCAGATAATGAGGTCAAGAGATGGAGACCATCCTGGCCAACATGATGAAACCCCGTCTCTACTAAAAATACAAAAATTAGCTGGGCATGGTGGCCCATGCCTGAGTCCCAGATACTCAGGAGGCTGAGGCAGGAGAATCACTTGAACCCAGGAGGCGGAGGTTGCAATGAGCTGAGATCATGCCACTGCACTCCCGCCTGGTGACACAGTGAGACTCTGTCTCAAAAGAGAAAAAAAAAAAAGATGCAGTTGTAGAGATGTAGTCAATTTACCTCCAGTCCCCAATTTTCCTAATATTGGTCCTTTAGTTTGTTTTCATTTAAAAAGCTTCACTTAGATGTTTCAGTTTCGAACAGAGGGGATAAAATGTTGCAGTCACCTTGTGTGTTATGGTTAAAGTTTGGAATAGCAGATAGCAAATAGACTCTCTCTGATTTAAAGTCTATATAGCCTCTTCAGCTTCGCCCTCTGTGTAAATATGTACTGGCTGGAAGCCACAAGCATGTCTATTGTCTCAACTGTTATCCAAAGGCAGACAGGCTCTGTGAAGCTAGATATTAATGCTGCTGGTGGTAGTCCAGCCTGTACTGCTTTTCTTCTGGAAAATGGAGATATTTCCTGACATGTTCTGCTGCTCACACATCTGTGTGAGCTTCAAACAGAAGCTCCTACTGCCAGGCATTAGTGGGGCCCAGAAAACTCCATATAAATCCCTGCAGTGAAAAGGGGAATAATCTGAGATCCAAATAACGACCACCTTGTCCAAACATCTGGAGAGGGCCTGGTCTGGTGATGGGGATTATAGAAAGGCAAAACAGGATCATGATCAGGTTTTAGTCCTGGGACTTGTGTGCAAGGGAAGCTCCCATTGTGGAGGCTTCCTTGGAGCTGTGGGGTACTTCCAAAGTATCTAGAATGTTTCAGAAGAGACACAAATGGTGGGGATAAGACTTTTCTTGGTGGAAAGGAGGATTCAATGAAACGCACCCAGGAGAGCTATTTCCTACTCAAAAATCATCCCAGAAAATTCCAGGTTAAAATTTGTGACAGATGTGGTCATAAAATTATACTGTAAAGATGGAAGGGGGTAACTTTCAAACTTTTCTGAATAAGCGATGACTGTAGGTTAAGCAGGAAGCAAAGCATTCTAATTTTTCTAAAAAATGGGAGGAAGAGGCATCTGGTGATATCTGCAAAGTCTGTAAAAAGTGAAAAATGAACTTCTTCCTTGAACTAACATTTTCAGGCACCTGCTATGTGCTAAGGGATCTTCTAGAAGTTTGAGAATTGGTGGTATATAAGATTGGTGAGGTCTCAATTTCATGGAGCATCAAATCTAGAAAGCAAATCATAAATAAGGTTCTATCAAATGGCGAAGAGTGCTATGAAAAAAATGAAGCAGTGTAATGTGACCGACCACCGATTTGGACAGAGGTGGTCCAAGTCAGTGGTCTGTCACAGACATGCAAGATGAAGAGCTACGTGAGGCAAAAGCACAGAAAGGCAAAGCCTGTGAGGTGAGGACATGGGTAACATTTCTGAGGACTAGCAGAGACCTGGAATGAAATATGCCGGAGCCTAATGATTGAGGAAGGAGGAGAGGAACAGATGCCTTCAGAGAGGTAGTCAGGGTTGGTTGATATAATGTGTTGCAAGCATCAGTAAAGGGTCTGGATTTCAAGTCTAAAGAGTGACGCAATGGGTCTTTATTTTTTTTATTTTTATTTTTTTTGAGATGGAGTTTCACTCATGTTACCCAGGCTAGAGTGCAATAGCGTGATCTCGGCTCACTGCAACCTCCGCCTCCTGGGTTCAGGCAATTCTCCTGCCTCAGCCTCCTGAGTAGCTGGGATTACAGGCACGCACCACCATGCCCAGCTAATTTTTTGTATTTTTAGTAGAGACGGGGTTTCACCATGTTGACCAGGATGGTCTCGATCTCTTGACGTCGTGATCCACCCGCCTCGGCCTCCCAAAGTGCTGGGATTACAGGCTTGAGCCACTGTGCCCGGCCTGCAATGGGTCTTTACACAACACAATGGTGGAATCTGAAAGATGCCTTTACTCTCTTTACCAAGAAGATCAATGAGTAAGCTTTTGTAGTGGCCCCCAATGCGTGATGCTGATGATTCGTTGATATTTTTATAGTAGTGCATGAGTTTAGATAAGGGACGTACTTTCAAGTAAAACCTACTGAAGTTGTCAGTGTGCTGGCTCTGGATAGAGAAAGAAGGAAAGAACTCAAGGACGACTTCTAAGTTCAGGGTTTGCGCTACTTAGTGTATGTAGTGTAATTACTGAAATAAGGAAGGCTGAAGAAGTAATTGTTTTCAGTGGGATGGCAAGGGAACATCACTAAATGCATTGAAAATAGAACAGGATTTCCAGTAAATATCTGCCCAACTTCAAAAGAAAATCTTGTATGAAAAACATAATACATGAAATGCTACCCAGTTTGGGGGAGTTTTCTTAGAGTAGCTAGAACCTTACTTGGTGCTATAGTTTGCATGTTTCCCCCAAAAGTTCATGTGTTGGAAACTTAATTGCCAATATAACAGTATTAAAAGGCAGGGGGCATTAAGAGGTGCTTAGATCATGAGGATCATAAGGGTAGAGCGCTCACAAATGGACTAATTCCCTTATCTCAGGAGTGAACTAGCTCTTGAGAGAGCAGGTTGTTATAAAAGCAAGCTTTGCTTGATCTTGTGGTCTCTTTCACACTTGCTCACTTGTCCTTCCACTGTTCTGCCACATTAGTACAAAAGCCCTTGCTGGAAGCTACCACCATGACCTTAAACTTCCCAATCTCCAGAATCATGGGCCAAATAAACATTTTTTCTTTATAAATTATGCAGCCTCGGTTATTATTTTATAACAATAGAAAACAGACTAAGATTCTTGGCAAATTGATGGATGGATAGATGAACGTATGTATGTTTGGATGGATGGTATAGATGGATAAATGTGTCAGCAATGAATGCTCAAATTAGCTCCCTCGCATTTCTAATATGTGTCCACATCTATGAAGTCATTAAAAGATTCCTCTCTCAGTGGCTGTAGTGTGCAGGTCTGAGGAATTCTGACCCAAACGATTTTGTCCATTCTGAAAGCCAAAGAGCTAGTTTGTCTTGAATATTATTCATAATTTCTTCCCATTGAGACAATACTCTGGTTCATTTCAAATATAAATGCCAATTCTTTGGGTTTTTTTTACTTTATAAAAATGATCTCAATAATCTTTATTTTACCAGACAGGAAGCACTACTTGCAGCCATCAGTGAAAAAGATGCAAACATTGCTCTGCTGGAATTGTCTGCCTCCAAAAAGAAAAAGACACAGGAAGAAGTCATGGCCCTCAAGCGGGAAAAAGACCGACTAGTGCATCAATTAAAGCAGCAGGTGGGGCCTCCTGCAAGAAAGGTGTGTTTTGTTGGGTTTGGGGCTTTGGGGGCTTTCTCTGGGTTTTAGCCTCTCTTCATTTTCCCATGTCCATCCTGTGGGCTCAAGCAGCTAAAACCAGGTAGGAGCACAATGGTCCCAGTTGTCACTGGAACACCATTTTACTGCCTGTCTGTGTTTATGTGCATGTGGCTGGGCTTGTGTGGTTTGCACCCAGTGCTGTTTTCCTTTCTTTTGTGTCAGCCTCATCTCCCCAGAAAAAGCTCTCAGACCTCTTCCTTCCAATGGACTTTGTTTGACTTCTGATTAAATTCTAGAAACTTACAATTAAGTTCTGGGCAACTTCTTTCCTGTTGGACCTGTTACCTTCCATCTTGCTCACTTCTGGTCCCTGTAAATAACTGCCCTCATCTAGGTTTTTAGGTTTCTTTCTCTCTATTCTTCCAACTTTAGTTCTTGGACTATTTCCTCCAACACCCTTCAGACAAGGACCATCTCCTAGCACTATCAGACTATGCTTAGAGAACACCCAGCTATTATTCACTCTAATTTTTAAAAATCACCTGTTTGCCCCATTATCCTGTGTTTTCTCCTTTCTAGGCCACTGTATTTGTTTTGAGGGACATGGAAGGAGGGGCATAGTTCTAACTTATACAGAAAGTTTCTTGCTCTCTGGAGGGTTTTCTGGAAGTGGCTTAAATGAAAATAATTATACCTGAAGCATATGGAAAATCATCCATGAAATCTTCTCCTCCTCATGTAACTTGGCGACTCTTATAAGCAATGATTAAAGCTATTCACTAAGATTCTAGTTCATTATGAAACTCACTCAGCTCGATGGTTTATGACCTTGCATGGTAGCCACCACATTTTAGCTAGGGCCATATGTGGCTCTGAAGCTCTCTAATGGCCACACAGTTACCATGTGGAGTGTGTCCATATTGACTCAGCCCCTAGGGCAAGCTCTCTGCCTGCTAGAGTGATCTATGCTGAGCACCATGGGCAAGGTGAGTGGAAGGGAAACCTGAAGGAGTAAGTACACTCCCCTTCCAATGTGACCAACCCTTATCCCTCGGGAATGAAAAGGCGTACAATTGGTTCTGCCCCAGAGTTCATTTCTCATGGGGCTGCCTTGTTCACAGAGAGAGAGAGAGAGAGAGAGGAGACAAAGAGAGAGAACGAGAGAGAGAGAGACCACTACTCTGCCTGGGCACCCTCTCCTTGTAGAGGGAGGGTCCCAGTCACTGCCAGACACTGGGGTCATTCCACAGAGTGGCATGCCTTGCTAATGCTGGCCTCAGGGGTCGGGGATTGCTTACACCTGACCTTTTTGTTTGGAGCTGTGCATCTTTTCCACTGAGTTTTCCACCCACTTGGCCACAGACAGTCAAAATGAGCATCCTTCTTTGCTTTTCCCTATTCCTTCCCTGTGCCTTGCCCTCCTGCACCTAACCATTGTAGCTTTCTCCCACAGGTTTATAGACCTAAGAAACAGCTTTCGAGCTCGAATATACCATGCACTTGTGGTGCTGGCTACAGTCCAGATATTACGGCCAAGTACCATGTGTCCAGCTACGATGCATACATGATCCAAAGGTCTCAGGTCAGTCAGCTGCTAAAGAGACACTTGCCCCCACTATTGGGGTTGGGGGTGCGTAAGAGCTTATCCAACCTTGACCTTTACCTCTTTTGCTGATTTCTAATACTCTACGGCTGTAAAGTCTGAGACCATAGATGACAGCATTATATCATGATTTGCAGTGTCATTTCATTTATTGTCTATATGCCAATGGTTCCAGACTTGGCAGCCATCTGATAGGGTCAGCTCTTGCTGAATTAGCTTGGTGGAGCTGCAGAACCAAGGCCGCCAGAAGCCTTCCTGTCAGATAGGGTGAATAATTTTTGCTTTCTTTCTCTTAGATACTTTGCTCCTCATGTTTCCCTCTACTTTTCCCAATAAGGAATTTTAAGACTGCCTTTTTTCTTTCTCAGCATCATGAAAATGCACTTCTTGATTCCAGTAAGGATTGAGCATAGTCCCTCAGATTTCTCCTGGTAACCTGCACAAAGCCTATATTGTCTACAACAGTCCTGGTTTTTGGTGTCATGGGGTACATTTGGGAAACCCCAGCTATGCAGAGTTCAGCTTCTATATGTGCTAAGGCAGTGTCTGAAGGGCTGTCGTGGAGAAGGAGGGAGTGAAAGAAGAGGATGGGCTTCTTGGTGATTTAGGTCTGATATCCTTCCTCATCCCACTCACCAAAGAGCAGAAAAAATCACCTGAATTTCAATATCCTTATTGCCAATGATAATGACTCTAAAAACAATGATTAATGTGCTGTCAAATAATCCCCTTTTATTGAGCATTTACTCTCTGCTAGGTGGTGTATCCAGTGTCATTCAGAGATGTTGTCCCATAGTCCTCTTGGCAACCTGTGAGTGTGTGCAGGATTATCTCCCTTTTCTAGGGAGCATAACAGGCTCAGCGTGTGGAATAACCAGTCCAAGGATTCACAGCTTGTAAGTGACAGGGCTCAGGCTTTAGAAAGTCTACTGGATTCCACGCATACCCCACCAAGTTCAGGGAGGAACTCAGAATGTCAAGCAAAATGATATTCCCAGAAATTGTGAGGGTCTCCTTATCTTCATAAACCTAAAGTAGATGCCAAAAAAACCATTTAAGAATGTTCTCCAGCTGTTCACAAACAGTAGGTTCTGCCTGGAGTTCTTAGGCGTAGGCTATTTGATCACATCAACAACAGTTACTAATACTTTTGAGCTCTCATTATGTGCTAAGCATGGGTCTAAAGGCTTTACGTACATCAACTCGACACCTCCCAGCAAGACTGAGGGTTTGATACTCATAGAGGAAGAGCCAGAGGCCCAGAGAGGTTAGGCATCTTGCTCAGCCTCAAAGTTGGATACACCATAATGCTTAAGGAGACCCTTTGCCAGACAATCATAAAAGATGATACCCAAAGTCAAACTGCTTAAGCTGAATCCTGTTTCTAGCATTTATTAGCTGGGTGATCACAGGCATGATACTAAACCTTCTTGAACCTCAGTTTCCTCATCTGTAAATTGGGCTAACAATTCAAAGAGTTATTGTGAGGTGAAAGTTAAACCATGTACTCTGCACTTGCATGGCACGTAATAGGTGCTATATATATGTATAAGCTGCTATTGTAACTACCATTACTATTAATACTACTAGTAGTGCTACTACTACTACTAGTTGATGTTATCACTGCCAACCCTCAGAGGTAGTTTAATTTTGATTTCATCATTACTGTTTTTGCACACAGCTGGGCACATGTTAAGAATACATTGTCGAGCTATGGCAACTGTGGAAGAAAGAGCATATAGTTGTTGACACCTAAGCCTTCCTGGTCCTCCTCTCCTAAAGCCAACGCATTTGTGGAGCAGTGAGCAGACATGCCAGGAACCCTGGACCCCAGGTCCCAGCCTGCACTGAGGAGGCCATAGCGCGTATGAAATTTGCTTGGTTTGTGTATGCAGCCCATATAGATATCAATGAGGGGGGGCAGTCCTGGGAGGGTGAGTCCCAGGCCTCAGTTGTCTTGACCTGCATAGCTGACTTGGAAGAGCAGAGCTCTTTCAGGGACCAGGCCAATGAGAAGGGAAGGCCTGGCCTGCTCAGTCTTCTGTGCAGATATTGAGGCAGACTGGCTCATGAGAGATGCCACCCTCTTCAGATTGCCTTCTTCTTTCAAGATATGGTCTCACTCTGTCACCCAGGCTGGGGTACAGTGGTGCAGCCACAGCTCACTTCAGCTTCTACCTCCGAAGCTCAGGCAATCCTCCCACCTCAGCCTCCCAAGTAGCTGAAATCACAGGCATGCACCACCATGCCAAGCTCATTTTTGTATTTTTCTGTAGAAATGGGTTTCACTATGTTTCCTAGGCTGGTCTTGACCTCCTGGGCTCAAGTAATCCACCCACTTCAGCCTCCCAAAGTGCTGGGATTATGGTTGCGAGCCACCATGCCTAGCCCAGGTTGCCTTTTAAGCTCAACTTAATCTTAAAGAAAGTCTCTCCCCTGCCCAGGCCACCACAAGTGACTGAGTTATTGCCAGGCACGTAGTAGGTGTTCATTAAATATTTGTTGTGTGAATTAATGCATGATTACCACTTTCCAGACTCTATACCAAGTTCTTTATGGTTACATAAGTTTACAAACATAATCTCATTTTTTCCCCATAACCAACCAACTAACTTACTGCCTACCTACTCTGTGCCAGACTCTCTGCCAGGTGCTGGGGAAGCATCCATAACAGATATTTTGCCTGCCCCAATGAGAAAAGCATCATCCTTATTTTTGAGCTGATTAAACCGAAGTCTAAGAGACTATATGAGTTAACCACCATCAGACCACTTATATCTGGTACAGAGTTGGCCCTGGTGCTGCAGTAGTGCTGAGACCTTACCTGTGGCTAGGCTGAACACTGTCTCCCCAAAGCAACACTCTGAGTCATGATCAGCTCCCATACATCACAGATGTTATCAGAGAAACCCAGTTCCAGTGGTTCAGCCTGTGACTGCCAACCTGTGCAGGGTGATGGGGATAACACAGGTGGATAGCTTGCTGAGACCAAGTGCCATGTTTACCATATTGCAATTCAACTCCACAAGTATTTATTGACTGCCTACACTGTGTTACAGTGCTAGGCATAGAACACATCAGTGACCAAAATAGATCAAGACTGCTTCCTCATGGAGCTTACATTTTTTTTGAGATAGGGTCTCACTGTGTGGCCCTGGGTGGACTGTAGTGATGCAATCATAGTTCACTGCAAGCTCCAACAACTGGGTTCAAATGATCCTCCCACCTCAGCCTCCCTAGTAGCTGGGACTACAGTTGTGTAAAACCATGCCTAGCTTTTTTTATTATTTTTTTTTTAGGAGAGACAAGGTCTCGCTATGTTGCCCAGGCTGGTCTTGAACTCTGAGACTCAAGCAATGCTCCCACCTTGGCCTCCCAAAGTGTGGAGATTGTTAGG